AAAAAGTCAAAAAATTAACCAAACTTTCTAAACAAAGCCTAATACACATACATTATTAGGTTGTTTTGGAAAAAGAGTTAAAAATTGATTTTTTGATTTTTTTTTTTTTTGGCTTTTTTTGAAAAAATGTGTAAAAAATATAAGAGATGATTTGACCCAAAGTAAATTAAAAGTTAAAAGATGACTTTTAACCATTTTTCTAAAATAACCCTTAGTTGAACATAATAGTTACATGCAAATAGGAGAATTCACCATCGTTCTTTCTCTGGTTGTAACTTGTAAGTTAGTCTGTTTTTCTGATATATTTTATTCTTTAATGAATTTTTTTTTTTTAAAAAAATTTGAGTCATTTTTTTAGGAAAAATTACACATCAATGTATCTTTTCAAAAAAAAAAATCAAATTAATAGAAAACTGTATAACTATTAATAATTAAATTCATAAACTTTTTCATTAATTTGTAAATATTTTATAAAATCCCACTGATGTGTAAATTTTGTTTTTTTTTTTATTATTATTATTTTTAAGACTGTCTAGATTAGATAAACTTCAATTTTAAAAAAAAAAGTATATATATATATCTACCAAAGACAATAAACTATCTTTTTAGGTATCATTCGAGAGTTAGGTAAAAAACTAGGTGTATTTTTTATATCATTTATTATTATTATTATTGTGACCGTGAACTACTCTAATTCTTGAGCTCTAAATTCAGCTTTAATGAGTTGGTAATATGTCTCACCCATTATGATGTGATATTTAGGTCTTAATTTTTTTTTCCTTCTTATTATGTCATTAATACTTTATTAAAATATTAAAATTAGTGTTCAGAATCATTGCTGCTGAGCCGATGTAGGATCCTTTTGACACACACGCCAAGTCTGTGACCTACATTTACAACTTTTGGCTTTTCTAATGAATTTTTAACGTCAGTCAATTTTGTTAATTTGAACTTTTTGGAAGTAAATAGATTACCTTATTAATAAAATGATTTTAGCCAATAGTTTAGCTTTGTATCCTGTGCAAAATGAAGCCTTAGGCTTCTTTTGATAAATTAAAAAAATATATATATTTATCTTCAAATTTTTTTTTTTACTTTTTATTTTCTTAGATCATTTAGTCTAAAAAGATATAAATTTTTTTTTTAAGAGTCAAAAGATTAAAATAACATTTACTAAAAAAAAGAATACATTAAAAAATCAATTTAAAAACCAAGCCAAAAAATTGACTTAGTGTCACCCACCATTAATATTAATTTTTATTCAAGTTGAGGGAGGTCGGTATTTTGACTAACACACAACACACTAAAAGCAGCTCAATGCAATCTCTTGTTTTTCTTATTAATTTTGAAATATTGTTGATGAATTGTGTTAAAAGTTAGTTTATTTGATTAAAAAACCTAGCGGTGAATTAGATTGAGATTTGAAAAAAATGCAGATAGTCTCATAATTTTAATATAATTATATTAACTTCCCTTTTAGTAAGAATACATAAAAGAGTTATTAAAAAAGTTAGCAAGAGAGACAAAAACCTATAAGGTGCTACTATGGTGACCTCTTGTGAAATTTTGATAATAATGTGCCCCTTTGCAATCCACTAGAGTGTTTCTTCTTTTCTTGGTAGCTTTTTTTAATGTTTTACTTTTTATAACTTAAAAAAATTAACGTTGAAAAAAAAAATTGAGTGAAAAAATTGAGTGTGTTTTAACTTTTTTTAGCAAATGATAAGCAAGCTTTTGGCTTTTTGATTTAATTATCCAAATAAGTCCAAACACTTAATTAGCTCACACAAAGCAAGATAATAAAAGAAAATAAAACAAAAAAAATTAGTCATAACTAAGGACACAACTTAGATAGACTTGATTGATGAATTGTTTAGGTTCAAGTTAAGCTATGCTGTAAATTGCTCGTCGAAACCTAACTGTCAACTTGAGTTTATCTGTCGAAACCTATCTCGAGCTCAATGAATTGAACTTAGCTTAGGCTCAAATTTTTCACAAATTTGAGTTACGTTCTTTTTTTATAAGTTAGACTAGTTAATTTTTAAAAGTTGGAACCTATTAACATTTTTTATTTTATTTTATGAAATCATAAGTAATATCAAACAAATAATAATCTATAACCATAACATAACAAATTAATAAACGTTTTAGTAAAATAACCTAACAATATAATAAACATTACTACAGCAATACACATAACAACATAATGGGTAAATTATACTTTGCACCTTTATATTTTGTACTAAATCTCACTATAGACCCAACGCATGAAATCATGGCAGTCAACTCCCTACAATTCTAGTCAAATTCTACTTTGATCTCCGCATATGATATCGTGACAATCAATTCCCTGTACTTTTAATCAAATCTTACTTTAATCCTTATACAAATGTCAATGTCATTCTTCTGTTACTCTATTGTTTAAATGTTTAATAAAATCCAATCATGCTATAAGAATGTTACTACGAAATGAGGAAAAGAGAAGAAAACCATTATAATTTCCCACCAATACACTTTGTCTCGAAATTTACATCAAATTATGACTATATTAGGCTAAAACAAAACAAAAATTGTGAATGATTAAGAAGATGAACTAGGGTTTTGCATAAATTAGAATCAAGAAACTCTATTTTTCACAGTAATACAGTCTTCTGTCTATTCATTTTCCCTTCTCTTTGATTTCTCTATTGTCTTTTTTTATTTCAGAAACTCCATTATCTTGTCTCTTTGTCTCAATTTTCAATATACGAATATATATATTATATTACATAACTCTCATGGGCTTATTATGTAAGACAAATGTATATTGGTAGAAAAGAGGGATGATTTTTCTTTTTTACCCCCATTTCGTAGTCACATTGTTGTCACATGATTGAATTATATTAAAATTTTAAATAATAGAGTAATAGAAAATGAGACATTAACACTTATGTAGGGACCAAAGTAGGATTTGATCAAAAGTACAGGGGGTTGATTGTCACGATTTCATATGTAGAGATCAAAGTGAGATTTGACTAAAAATGTAAGGAGTTAACTATTATGATTTCATATGTAAGCACCAAAATAAAACTTAGTGCAAAGTGTAATTTACCCTAACATAATATAAAAAGATAAAATATGATTGTGTATAGGAGATATGAGATATATATATACTTAGGTTAATCTAACGATGTAGACAATTTTAGCGTAATCTAATGACCAATATTTCACACGTATATTTAATATTTTTCATATATTTATATATTATATATACAATTCGAGCTTTGGGTTATTGGGGGTATCTTAAGAGTGTAAAAATAGCCTGCGGCCCGTGGGCGGCCCAAAACCCACCCGCGGCCCCGGGGTGGACCCGGCTCGTTTGGGCTCGGGCCCCGAGCCTAGCCTGAGCTTGGACTATCATTTCGAAGTTCATGGCCCGGCCCATCGACTTGCTTAAAGCCTACTCAAGGCCCGGCCTGAAGCCCCGACCCGCAAGTTCGGCCTGGCCCATGGCCCGGCCCATCGACTTGCTTAAAGCCTACTCAAGGCCCGGCCTGAAGCCCCGACCCGCCTGGGCTGCATGAACCGCAGTGTCTTTTTTAGTGAAAAATAATAAAATTTTGATAGAAAAAATTTTAAAAAACAAAAAAAAAAGGTCAGGCTTGCCTAAACTCGAGGGCAGGCCTATGCCCACCAGGTCGGCCCGAGGCCTGAATACCCCTAGGCTTAGGCCTGGGCTTAGACCTAATTTTTTGGCTCATGGACCGGCCCGGTCCGAATTTTGACGGGAGCCTGCGAGCCCGACATGGACCAAGCTGGGCCGGGCCAGATTTATACCCTTAGTGTATCTGCTCAAACTCAACCCAAATTCAATTTGAGTTTCCAAATTATTGGTCAAACTCTCACCAAATTTAAATCTATATTATCTAAGCTCTAAAAAATATTCCAATTTATCCAGTTGGGTTCACCGGATGCAACTCTAGCCATAACTCCTAAGCTAAGAAATAAAATCTATATATAAAAAAAAAAAAATTGTAAACCGATTCGATCCAATTTAAACTATACATTTTGGTTTGATTTTCTAAATGCACAATTTTATTCTAACTCTTAAAATAGGTGAATGATATTTTGTAAAACATTACAAACATCATGTCAATGGCAACGATTTTTAGAAATCGTAATTCTAAACCTAATTGAATCATGTTTCATTCATTTGATTTAATTTGATTATGAGATTTTTGTGATATGATTTAGTTTCAAATTTTATAAAATTACAAGAAATGGTTAGGTTTTCTTAACTGAATCACACTCACTCCTAATTCCAAATGACAAAATGAGAATATGTTTGACTAAAATGTTCTCTTAAAGCAACGCCATAATTGTCATGTTTGGTGCAGCGTATTATAAATTAAAAATTAATAATTAGAAAACACAAACTAAAAACACTACTTTTCCAGCTTTTAGATAATCAAAATTTTTTTCTAACTTATTTAAGTTATATCTGACTAATAAGTTGTAAGTAGAATTTATATCAAACAATCTGAAACAAACACTTAAATTAAAATAAGTTAGAATTAATTCCCTCAACAAGAAACAAAAATGGGAATCACCCAAATAAAAGGGCAATATAGTCATGTAGCAAAAACAGGCAGTTAGAATTTTAATAGTGACCTACGTAGTATACAATGTATGTACGGAGTTCGATGGATCCAAAGGGTGTCTTTTTCAAATGGCGCCAAACCAACCAACATTTGCACATCAAAAACATACATTGATGCTTTGGCCGGCCATTCTTCTTCACCAGCTTCACTCCATCGTCCTGTTCCTCTTTTCACATATTCATTCATGGCCTCTCTCTCCTCTCTGTCTCTCCTCTCTGTCTCTCTAGCATTGGATTTTTTTTTTTTTTTTTTATGTTCTGTCTCCCACTCTACTTTGTCCAAGTCAAATTGATGTTGATTGGTTACACCACATGGCTATATATACTTATCTTACTTTCATTCTTGGAAATCTCTTTCTATCTCACAATCCCTTTCCAAGAAGACTTGCCCCGAATCTCAGTGTTTGGGGTTGGACTTGCAAGCTAGGTTTCGGGTTTTGGAGATTCAAATTTGTTTTCTCAAATTTTGGAGGTACGAGCGTTCACATATTCTTTTGTTTCTTAGCAATGCTGGGAAAAGTGTTCATAATTTGAGATATGTGAATTAGTTTATTGTGTGATTTACACCATGCATTTGAATTATGATTATTTTGTGAGTATTTAGTTATTTATAGCATTTATGTTTAGTTTTTGGACTCCAAATATGCTTACCAGACTATCAAGTGTAGCAAGTCATAGCACTTTACGAATAACTAAACAATTCTTCTACGTGCACAGAATCCAATCACAGAATTGGACATAATCCACCCCCATGGTATGAGTCCCACCAAATGTGTGGGTAGGATTGTGTGATTGGATTATGTGCACTTAGAATTTTTCATAAAAAAAAGCATACATAAAATTGATAAAGAATGATGTCGTTGGGTTACGGGTATTTCATTTTAAAACATAGAATTTACGAAAAATGTTGCCGCTACATCATTCTAGTAGAAAGAAATTATGTATAATGATTTTTGAAAGAATAGCATTTTTCTTGTAGTTTATGTGCTTTTATGGGCTTCTGTTGATTACTCATTAATTCTGTTGTTTCAAACTTACATTACTGTTTTAGGTTACATTTACTCTTTAAATTATATTTATGTCTATTTATGATTTGGGTCTGGGAGTTTATTCTCACTTGTGCCAAAGCTACCATGTTTGTTTTGTTGATGTCATTCTTGTTTAGAATCATTTAGAAATAATCACAGGACAATCCCATCATGATATAAAGAAAATAAAAATAAAATTTGAACTTAAGGGATTTTATCACAATCATATATAATGCCGCATTGATATCATTTTTGGAAAATAAAAATTTCTAAATCAAATTTTGAAAAAAAAAAAAATCAAAATAAGTATACTGTGAGCTAAAGTTGTTGCTGGGAGAATTGTGTATGAAAGAGAGGAATTCAGGATTCATCTGAAGTAACTGAAAACATGCAGATTCTGTACGAAAAACTTGGTGGGCGGAGAGTTGGAGCTGACAGAGAGATGGGTGTGGATGATAAATCGATTGCCCTTGATGCCGTCAACAAGGAAGCTGTTGACCTGGTATGTCCTTAGAACTATCAATTGAACCAAAATCCATAAGTCTGTTTGGTTGTGTTTTTGTTTTCTGTTTTTATCTTCTGATCTTCCCTTTTCAGTTACAATTTTGTTGCCTGTTGTCTACTTGGAACTAACTATCAATTGAAACAAAATCTATTTGAGTTACAATTCTGTTGTCAATGTGCTTTTTTTTTTTTTCTTATTTTCTTTTTTATGTTAATGCTCTTGTATACCCTTGAATTCTTTCATGATGATTACTTTGAATATAAGAACTAAAGAGTGTATTTAAATTGATCTGCTGAGTTAGTATGAGAAGTCCAACAAAATGATTTGGTTCTTCTTGCAAGTCTTCTTAATTTTGTTACATGTGTTTTTCTATGCTTCAAATGAAAACATTTTGATAAATTAATTTCTGGAAGGAAACAAAAAAAAGAAAAAAAAAGAGACAATGGAAAAAAGCTCAATAAATGATGTAGCAGTGATAGCAAGAGGGAACTAGCTATCATTCTCATATCCATGAGGTAAGCCTTGAATCCAACAAAAGAAAATACCAAGATCAGTAATGTTATTAAAGTTTCTGTCCTTCACTGGACACTTACAACTCTATAAACTGAATAATGATATTCTTAAGAAAACATGAAACAAGAAGGAAAACTGAAAACTATACAAAAAAAAAATTAAAAAAAAAAAAAAACCGAACACTATAAAGTCTTAGAACTATGCCAAACAAACGGGATTAAAATTTAAACTCTTTATTAAAGTTATGGCTATAAGAATACTTTCCACAAGTACAGAACAGCGAAAACAATATTTTGAAAGCCTAAATGATAGAATTTGGCCGAAAATGGCTCATCACCGCTATGCAGCGAGTTTCGGCCCACTGGCCGAATTGGGCTGTGATGAATCAAAAATGGGTGTTTCGGTCCAAATTTGACAACTTGGACTGGTTTACCCAAACTCACCAACAAGCTTTGTCCATCATCAATAAAGGTGATATTGAATTTGTAATTTGCTTCATGCAGGAGAACATGCCCCTCAAAGAAGTATTTGAACATCTTAAATGTACAAAAGAGGGTCTGAGCACCGATGCAGTTCAAGAACGGTTGGAAGTGTTTGGATACAACAAACTAGAAGAGAAAAAGGTTAGGAAAATTTATGTTGGATAACTTCCTTTTCTTTTTCCACATCTCATCTTATCTCTATTTTTTATTTTTTTTTTACACTGCGTGATTTATTGTTATACTTTTCTTTCTTCCCTAGGAAAGTAAAATACTGAAGTTTTTGGGCTTTATGTGGAATCCTCTGTCATGGGTCATGGAAGCAGCAGCTTTAATGGCGATTGCTCTTGCACATGGAGGGGTAACACGCTCTTATCTTACTTTAGTATAGTGTTGACTTATCATTTAGTCAAAGCTTCATTATTATATGCACGCGCGCGCGCACACACAAAATCCAAAAAAAAAAAAAAAAGAGAGAAAAGAAAAAAAAGAGTTGATTGGTTACAAGTGTAAGACAATTTGAGATTATTCCATACTGACAAACCTTATTTTGTGCAGCATAAGGGCACAGATTATCATGACTTCTTTGGCATCTTGATCTTGCTCATTATCAACTCTACCATCAGTTTTATTGAGGAAAATAATGCTGGCAATGCGGCTGCTGCTCTTATGGCTCGATTAGCTCCAAAAGCCAAGGTTTCCCTCTTCCCGAATAAATACAGATCCAAAAATTATGTTTTCTATTTCTATTTCCTTTTTTTTCTCTTGAACTTTCAACATAAGTAAGGGAATGATTTGTATTTGACTCTCTAATTACTCCTACCAGGTCCTGCGTGACGGGAAGTGGAGTGAGGAAGATGCTTCAGTGTTAGTTCCAGGTGATATAGTAAGCATCAAACTTGGGGACATTGTACCTGCTGATGCACGCCTTCTTGAAGGAGATCCTCTAAAAATTGATCAGGTATGTGATTCACTCCAAAATATGAGTTATCTCAACTTTTACATACACAGTCTAGTTGAAAAAAATAAAAAATAAAAAAATTGTTGTGCACTTCTTTTGTTTGGATAGGTGTTGTAAGCAGTCTTCAGAGTTCTGCATCTAGTGGAAGTTGATAAAGTCTATGAAAACAAAATTTTACATCTAACCCTCAAGTTCTTAGCTCTTACAACTTCATTACGATTTAAGAGCCAGTGATTTCTTCAAAATAATTTACTTTCCAGGGTTTGAGATATTTAATATTTCTCTGACATTTGCAGTCTGCTCTTACCGGAGAATCACTTCCTGTAACCAAGAACCCTGGCGATGGAGTTTACTCGGGTTCAACATGTAAGCAAGGTGAAATTGAAGCAGTTGTTATTGCAACTGGAGTTCATACTTTCTTCGGGAAAGCAGCTCATCTTGTGGAAAATACGACACACGTCGGGCATTTCCAGAAGGTCTGTTCCTATCTAAATAATTTCAGGGCCAAACATACTAGCCTAATTATTCTTTTTAACACTCATTTTGTCAGTCATTTATTGCAATGAGTGTTGAGTATGAACTTCATATGATGGTTTCAGGTTTTAACTGCAATTGGAAACTTCTGCATTTGCTCAATTGCTGTTGGTATCGTAATTGAACTCATTGTCATATATGGGGTTCATAAGAGGAAATATCGTGTTGGTATCGATAACCTTCTTGTCCTACTCATTGGTGGGATCCCCATTGCAATGCCAACTGTTCTTTCTGTTACCATGGCTATCGGTTCACATCGCTTATCTCAGCAGGTGTGTGGAACCACAAGCAAGCTTAATAGACTTATTTGAAATATATCGATGAATTTGAGAAGATCTAATTTATGCATTCCCTATCTATGGATGTGAAAGTACACAAATGTGAAACTATTTGAACAAATGCAGGGTGCTATAACAAAGAGAATGACTGCAATTGAGGAAATGGCAGGGATGGATGTGCTATGCAGTGATAAAACAGGCACACTCACACTTAACAAGCTCACCGTGGACAAAAATATGATCGAGGTAACACTTATCCTCTATTTTGCTTTTAATCTACATTAAAAGGCTAGAAATTATAGCAAACGATTTTTCAGGTTGAAACTGACCTTGAACATGTATAAGGAGCATGTCAAATGCGACCTCATGGAGGGTTTCATCCTTGAGCCCAAGCCTCTTAGGGCATAAATTGTAATTTATACCCTTTGAAGTGAAGTGTGGTCAATGTGGAAACAAATACTTCTGCTACCTAAAGTGCCAACAAAATAAATATAATAGTTGTTAGTATACTCCGTCCCCATCCGAGTGGGGATTGGAGATAGTACAAATTCTGTGTGGTTGATTTTCCAATACGTCTTTTATATGAATTAGAGATCTTTTTGTAACTTCGAGTCATTTTGACATTACATATGTTTCTGCAGGTTTTTGCCAATGGTGTTGAGAAGGATATGGTTGTACTAATGGCTGCAAGAGCATCACGGTTAGAGAATCAGGATGCTATTGATGCTGCAATTGTTTCAATGTTGGCTGATCCTACGGAGGTATTGAATCTAATCCTTAAAGATATTAGACGCTAAGTTATTTTGTTTGAACTTGTGTTTCATGTGTCTAAGTAAATGCACTAGTGTGTTCCCCAAGTATCTGAAGAGTGGTCAAGTCTAAAAAAGATTAAAATTAATAGGAGATGAGGTGTCTAATGAGTGTCAGGAAATCTCCAACATGTGCCAGTATCTGACACATGTTGGACATGAACACGCCACCTTCTTGGAAGTGTTTGTGCTTCTTAGATTGCAGTCGATGCTTTTCCTTAAATCTAATTGTAAATTTTGTTTATTGAGGCTCTTTTAATGATTTGTTTGATATTGTAAGGCCCGAGCTGGAATTAAAGAAGTTCATTTCCTCCCATTCAATCCAACGGACAAAAGGACAGCACTCACATACGTAGATAAAGCTGGTGAAATGCATAGAGTGAGCAAAGGCGCACCAGAGCAGGTACAATACTTAAAATATCATTAAACAAACACATAGTAATCATTAAAACTAGATCCAGATTTGCTTATATTTCTGCATTTATGCTCTGTAGATTCTCAATCTAGCGCATAACAAATCACAAATTGAACGGAAGGTGCATTCAATGATTGACAAATTTGCAGAGCGTGGGCTTCGATCCCTTGGAGTTGCCCGCCAGGTGACGAATTTTTATGTACTTATCGTCTTCTACAATTTTTCTTAAAACATTTATGGAATAACTTCTTTTTATCTCTTTAGAAAGTACCTGCCGGTAACAAGGATAGTCCTGGTGGCCCCTGGGAATTCGTAGGACTTCTCCCTCTCTTTGACCCTCCTCGTCATGATAGTGCTGAAACAATCCGGAGAGCTCTCGATCTTGGTGTTAGTGTTAAGATGATAACAGGTGTGTGATACAGTTATTTTGTTTCCTTCTGTTTTATTCCTTTCACCAGCAATCTCATGTGCGTCTGGTGCAATTTTTTAGCCTTGGAACCTATAAACTAAGAATTTTTGTATATATCATCGAAAATTTTCAAACCAAAAATGTCCAAAAACAATTAAATTTAGAATCAAGTCTTTCAAAGATCAAATGTCATAGGATTTATCAATGTTAGTGGTGTTCGATTCACTTGAGTCTTCTAGAAGAGGAGTGACAAGTGCATTTCAAGGATTGTGAAGAAATGTCCAATGCCATGAAGAATATAAATGCTAGCTGTCGTATTTTCCTGCATATCATGTAATGTAATCATGCTTATCTCATACATGTTTTTAGATATGGAGAGAGTTATACCTAAAAATAGACATTTTTCATTTTTGACCACAAGAATTTCCATTTAACATTGATTATGTTAGTACTTCATACATCCACATTGGAAGCTTATGAATGAAATCCTGTACAGGTGATCAACTGGCAATTGCTAAGGAAACCGGAAGACGGCTTGGAATGGGCACTAACATGTACCCCTCTTCGTCTTTGCTTGGTGACAATAAGGATGCAGCAACTGCAGCTATACCAATTGATGACCTCATTGAAAAAGCTGATGGTTTTGCCGGAGTGTTTCCTGGTACGTCTAGTGGTTTCAATATGTCTACTCTTTATATTGTTGGGTAGCTTGACATAAATTGTTGGAACCATTTTCTAACAGCTTAAGTTTTTGGGACAATTGGTGACTTCACATGGTATCAGAGCTTAGTTTGAGAGATGTCTTAGGTTTATGTTTCTCTGTTGGCATTAGTATTCTGTCCCTATTTGGTTTCTTCTTCTCTGTTGGTTGTTCACTTCTCCTTTTGTTTCCACGTGTAAGATGGGATTGCATGTGAGGGTGTTGGTGGATAGCTTGATATATAATATTGGGCCCATTTCTAGACAGTTTAAGCTTTTGGGACAATTGGTGACTTAACATATATCTAATGTTTGTGTTCAACTTCTGATTCCATTTGTTCTCTCCAGAACATAAGTATGAGATTGTAAGGAGATTACAAGCTAGAGAACACATCTGTGGAATGACTGGTGATGGAGTAAACGATGCACCTGCTTTAAAGAAAGCAGACATAGGAATTGCAGTTGCAGATTCTACAGATGCTGCTCGTAGCGCTTCTGATATAGTTCTGACAGAACCTGGGTTGAGTGTAATCATTAGCGCTGTCTTAACAAGCCGTGCAATCTTCCAACGAATGAAAAACTACACGGTAATCTAATAATGATATGAATCTTGATAGAAAACTGAGATGTGACAAACTGACTACAAATGCTAAAACTTTATGTTTCTTCTCTTCAGATATATGCTGTTTCTATCACTATTCGTATTGTGGTAAGTTTTTTCCTTTTTTTTTTTTTGAATAAAATTTTTGCTTGAAAGATTATATGTATTCTCTGGATCAGCCTTATCTTATTGGCAACTGGGATTTACACAACAGCTGGGCTTTATGTTGCTGACTGTTTTCTGGAAATTTGACTTCCCGCCTTTTATGGTTCTTGTCATCGCCATTCTTAACGATGGTTAGTCATTCTAAATCTTCCCTCTTCTCAATCCATTTGTTTATTTCTTAGTTTCCAGCATTCTTAATATATATATATATACACGTATGTATTTACTTCGGTTACATGGTTTTGTTCCTCTTGCTTCTTACCGGGCTCATGTGCTTGCTTTCAGGTACTATCATGACAATATCCAAGGACAGAGTTAAACCTTCTCCTTTTCCAGATAGTTGGAAGCTAAGTGAAATTTTTGCAACTGGAATCGTCCTTGGTGGTTATTTGGCTCTAATGACAGTAATATTCTTCTGGTTAGCTTATGAAACAAACTTCTTTGAGGTAAATGGCAAACTGCCTCATGTAATGCATAGAATATCATCAATATCTATCATTTTGTATAGGTGAAAGGCTTGTTCTGCATTTGTGCTAAATGTGCATTGTAATTTGGAAATTCATGCTCTTTCCTCGAAGAATCCTAGAAGTGAAGGAAAAACTTCATTAGATGATTCATACTATATACTATCTACAAAGCACTGACACTTCAAAATGGGTGTTGTGTCTGTGTCAGACACACATGGGACACCAACATGCCAACGACACGTGTCAGACACGCCACACGGTGTGTCAATTTTTTTAATTGTTATTTTTTGCAAGACACTTTGGGACTTCACAAACACGTGTCCTATGTTTGGACACACCTCAGATACCTTTGTGAGTTTCATTTATATAACTTTAGAAATATGATTTGGGATCAAAGTAAAATATATGAAAACAAAGAGTGGGGGAAGCAAAAAATAAAAATAAAAAATTGCCTCACATATACATTGATATCTCTTATATCTCTATATGCTAAATTTATATTCGTATACATAGAAAATAAAAATATGTAAAAAGGATAGCTTTTTTGTTGTATTCCCACAGCATCCGTATCCTAACTTTTTCAAAATTGTCGTGTCCCTTGTCCTTACCTGCATCCGCATCTATGTCCATGTTCATGCTTCTTTGCATTCCATACATCTCATACATGTAACATCTCATTGTGCCTAGAACTTGAAAATTCTCTCATATGTACCCAAAATCTCTTTCTTTTCTTCAGCAGAGTCACAAGAAACTACTTAATTTTCTTATTTATATTTGGGATGTGTACCCTTTCTCCTTTTGCAGCATCATTTTCATGTAAAGAGCTTCAACAGTAATCATTTTGACATGAAAAACAAGACTCAAGCTGATCCACTCAAAGAAATGTTGGCATCTGCTGTTTATCTTCAAGTCAGCACCATCAGCCAGGCCTTGATATTTGTGACTCGCTCCAGGGGCTGGTCTTTCACAGAGCGACCTGGTCTTCTGCTTGTAGTTGCTTTCATCTTGGCTCAATTGGTAACTAGTCTTGTTACACCATGGCTTTATTATATTTCAATAGATAAATTTAGAGAAGTTTATATATCAAATATAACTACATCAAAGGTCAAGGATTAACAAAAGTCCATCCACTTTCAGCAATATGTAACCCAAGTTTTATCCCATATTATTTAATTATATGCAGTTTACTAAATATCAAAGTTTCTTCCTAATTTCCTTGCCATACCAGACTTTCTCGCTGTAATTATAAAGTGGGAATTATTTGAATTTTTTCCATGTAACTTATATTCGGAACTCAACCTTTGTCACTACACTGTGTGCTTCTTCAATGGGTAAGAGCTGGATAATGTATTATAGTTGACATGTATCTCATACAAGCATGCTGAGCACACCCCCAATTTCAGAAATTACATAAAACATATTTTTCTATAATCATTTCGCCTAAATACATTTTCTTGGATTTTCCATTCAAATTTCTCCAATTCTTTTTTTCACATAAACTTTTTTTCTTCTTTTGTTTCCTTTTTTGCTATTTTATCAGCAGTGATTTGGACACTCCAAACTAGGAACACCTTAAAAGTTGAGAATACCCTTCATATGAACTATTAATAGAAATCTTTTATCATTTTGCTTTCCTATTTAAGAAGAGGGTGTCACCTTTGTTGCAGAAATTAACTAGGATAGTATGTTTCATCAAACCAACGGGGCTATGTTTCATAAAAAATGTGTGATTTTTGTGACCATGTTGTTGGACTTTCTTATAAAGTTGAATGTCCAGTCTAATGTAAGTTTCATGATATGTAAATTATCTCCTAAAAATTTAAAAATAAAAAATAAAAAATATATGTTTTATGAACCTTGTAATTTGATATTTAGAATTGGATTCATACCAATGAAAGTGGAACCGCAGTTTTCTCAATATGCATATTTGCCCACTTCAAAATTTGAGAGACTATATTGTATCATTAATCATCTTTTTCAACTCTTGCTGTAGATTTAAACCTTGGTACTTCATCATTGCAGATTGCTACTGTAATATCCGCCGAAGCAACCTGGAAAGTTGCTGGAATAAGGAAAATAGGTTGGGGCTGGACTGGTGTTATTTGGTTGTACAATGTAGTAACTTACGTGCTACTCGATCCTATAAAGTTTGCCGTTCGATATGCACTTAGCGGCAAAGCCTGGAGTCTGGTGGTCGAAAAAAGAGTGAGTGCACGCAACCGAACTTCTTCTATCACAACTTATTTAGAGAGTTAGAATTGAACTCTCCTCTAAAAAGCATCCATAGTCTAATCATATTTATCATTTTAGCAACAATTTTTTCACAACTAGAATATATATTTTTCTTTTTTTCATAGTTCAAATTCAAACAATTAAGTGAATTTTGCCTCCACCTTATCATCATGGTTTTAAGATTAATCCTCTTATTCTCCTTTACGTTCATTGATGTTACTTAGGATAAAAAATTCAATTAACAATGACCTTTTTTGGTATTTCACCAGACTGCATTCACAACCCAAAAGGATTTTGGAAGGGAAGCTCGCGAGGCTGCATGGGCAGCTGAGCAGCGGACACTGCACGGCCTCCAGCCTGTTGAGCAAAGAAGGTTTACCGATCATAGCACTTTTAGGGACATTAATCTTATGGCAGAAGAAGCTAAAAGGCGTGCGGAGATTGCAAGGTTAGTCTTCTGGCTTCAAAACCTGAAAACTAAAAGAATTTTCACGCTTCTAATGGCTAGTTAACAATTTTTTTATGCACTAATAATGAGGTTTTATTGAACAATTTCTTGTTGAAACTTCTCCTAGAAAAATGATTGTGGATGACTGTTCTTTGTTGGTTTGACATAACACAAAGTGGTTAATACTTGTCAACCTCAGTGCCATTGACATTATTATGCTTCATGGTAATTTTTCTGTTTCTTTTTTCCAATCACGCAGAATGAGGGAACTTCACACTCTTAAAGGGAAGGTAGAATCATTTGCTAAGCTGAGGGGATTAGACATCGATGCCATGAACCAGAACTATACTGTCTGACCGGAATTCTGATTATATATATTTTTTTCTTTTAGTTTGTTTTAATGTTTATTATGTGTAATTCTTTCCATTCTTAGCTGAATTTCTCTTGGACCATATATTTGACAATAATTAATTATTCTATATTTAATCTTTTTTCTTAAATTGTCTTCCTATGTATGAAATCAATCTTATCACCTCATATGGTTCCCCATTTTCTGCTTCTGAGAGAGAGAGTCTGACATAATTTGTTTTAAAAAAAAATTTATTCTTAACTTAATGCACATTTTAACATCTCTACTACAACACTCACACATTCATTTTTTTATCATTTTTTGTCATATAATACACAAACACAGATAATTTTAACATCTTCACTCGTGATGTTCTTAGAAAGAGATTCGAATCCGGACCTAACAAATCTGATAATAGATCCAAAACATTTAAACAGAAGAACCCATCAATGATTCAAACTCTTTGTTAGCTTAGTCCTAATGATCAACTGAAATGTTGCATTCAAATTAAATGGCACCACGAATAGTATTTTTTTTTTTCTTAACCAAGAACCTCTCCAAGGTAGGTCACATTAGACCTACCTCTGCAGAGTAAATCCTAAATACTAGCAAATCATGAGGTGTCAAACTTAGAACCCTTGAGTTTACTGTTTATCCCAAGTCCATGGTCACATTGGACTTACCTTTGCAAAATAAATCTGGAATACTTGCAAATCACGTGTATCAATTAAGATTGAGAACAACAACGAGGAGTGCTATTCATCCCAAGTCCAAGGTCACATTGGACTCACCTCTGCAAAATAGATTCTAAATACCCGCAAATCATGTGTATCACATCCGAGTTTATTGTTCATCCCAAGGTTTGCAACACATACCTCATTGATTGGTATGTTCGAATTTGATCATGTATACTTCGCCCAATACGTGGTTTTTTAAGTAGAGCATAGATTAATGGACTGCTAACACTAATAACAAACTGTTACACAGTCTCAAGTAAAACTCTTTTCGAAAGTTTGACTGTTAAAGTGAAGGTGGCCTTGCACTTACTTTCGTACTTTAGTAATATAAAACTTTGCTTCACACAAACAGTATATGAATGAACATTGGGTAGAGCTCTATTGGGAGGAGTCAGATTCACGCATGTAGCTTTAGGATTGATGTTTAGTTTGTCAAAAAACCAAAAAACTTCGATGTAAAAGAAGGGCAAAACTAGTTCATTTTCACACGAGAAAACATTAAGGGAAAAGTGATAGTTATTTTTGAAGTTAGTAAAATGTAAATATTTCTTTGACTTTTTTTTTTCTATATAAAAAGATAAACATGGATTGATATACGTGTGTGACAATCTCCAATACGGCCCTACCACTTAGGGGGGCAATAGGAACCTAAACAGGCCTTATAATTGGAGTATCACACGCGGGAGATTCATAAGCACTCTTTCAAGACAAGTTTGAATCATAACTTAATTTTAAATTCATCAAAAACATAGTGACAATAAGTCAATAATTCAAAATTAATAGTTAAGAATCTCAGATTTGAGTGTCAACTAAAAACTGGAATTTATGTCCACCTAGTCAAATCATAGATATAAGAGCAACCACAATCAACATGTTAATAGTCAATTAGTGTCAGATTTTATCAGTTAGTGAGCTTGTGATGCTTGTTATCCCATGCAATGGAGCTGTTAAAGCTATCAGCAGTTAGCATTTATGTTATCTGTGACCAGCCATTGTGCAACCCAAAAGAATATAATATTCTTTTTTGAAAAAGCAACCGACATCATATATTACCGTTACAACTGGGCATTTGGTGATTCAAATTTTCAACCGTGGTGCACATTTTTTTTTTCAAGTAAGAACAATACCCTTTCGTAAAAAAAGAATTCTATTGTATATCAGCCAAAACATCAGAAAAATGGATCTCGACCTCCATTTTTCAACCATCAATTCAACTGTAGGGCCAAATAATTTAACTATTGAGTTGTTAACTTGTCCACTGTAGTGCGCACGCAAACACACGCTAATTTAATCAATTATTTTACACAAAAATATTTTGAGAAGATGATTAAAAACTAATTTTTTAATTTTTTTTTAAGAAAAAAAGTAAGTTAAAAACTAAAAAATGACTTTTAATTCACTTCTTAAAATAGACCCCACACACTAAATAAAATCCACTTTTAGCAAGAGTACACTTAACACACTCTTTTGAGTATCTCATTGGAATGCTCTAAGCCCACCATCAAACTACATCGGTCGTGTTAGATTTCTTCAATCTTGGGCTCTAACTTCAATGGAAAAATTGATAAATCTCATTGTCTCAACATCATCACTAAAGTTAAAATCCAAATTTAACAAATTCAAACTAAAAAATAATCTTAATTTTTTATTTGAATTGAAAATTTCAAAAACAGTGTATTTTCACTTTTCAATCCGTATGTTTTTACTTTTAATGAATATTTTTAATTTTTTTATCAATTTTTTTAAAAAGAATTTTTAGATCTAATTAATCTATAGATCTACTTAAAAATTATAAAACTTGTAAAAAAATTCACTAAATACAAAAATAAATATAAATATTTAGTATATTTTTGCTTTTCTTTGTATTTATTGAATTGTTTTTAAATACTTTCAAAAAAAAAAATTACTTTTCAACTATCTAAATTAATTGAATTTAAAAAGAGAAAAAAAATTAAACAAATTCACTAAAAATAAAAAATGCAAACTGAAAAATTCAGATCTTAGGACAGCTGAACATTTTGCGAGAGAGAGAGAGAAAGAGATTTGTAATTTGAGTCCTATGAGAGAGAAAGAACAAAAGTCACTATGGAGCCCAAGAGAGAGAAAATGCATATTCCTCTTGCTACAACAACAACAACAGCAGAGGTGGAACACCTCCAGATTTTCTCCTCTCCTCCAAATCCATGCCTTCATTCTCCGCAACGCCCTCGAATCCAACCTCCACCTCCTCACCAACTTCATCGCCACCTGTTCTTCCTCCTCCGCCGGAATTCACCACGCTCGCCGCTTATTCGATCAAATACCCCAAAAACACGACCCATTTCTCTGCAACACCATGCTAAGAGCTCATCTGGGTATGCGTCAATTCATTGAAACCATTACTCTGTATCGACATCTTAAGAGGAACACTGGTTTTGTGCCCGATAACTACACTTTTTCATGGTTGGCCAAGTCTTGTGCTTCGACTTTGGCCTCTTGGGAGGGTCTACAGATTCATAATCATGTTATTAAAACTGGGTTTTGCTCAAATTTATTTGCGTCGACATCCTTGGTTGATATGTATGCGAAGTTTGGATTCATGGGTTGTGCAAGAAAGGTGTTTGATGAAATGTCTGAAAGAAGTCAAGTGTCTTGGACAGCTCTGATTTATGGGTATGCCCGGAAGGGAGATATGGACAATGCTAGGGAATTTTTTAATGAATCGCCCGATAAGGATTCGGCAACGTATAATGTGATGATTGATGCTTGTGTCAAGTCAGGAGATATGGACTCTGCTCGTTGTTTGTTTGATGAGAATCCAGAAAGGAATGTGGTGTCTTGGACTAGTATGGTTGATGGGTATTGCAATATTGGTGATGTTGGTTCTGCTAGATTGTTATTTGACGCAATGCCTGAGAAGAATTTGTTTTCTTGGAATGCCATGATACGTGGATATTGCCAAAATAAACAGCCCAATGAAGCAGTGAGACTGTTTCATGAAATGCAATCTACAACAACGTTTGAACCAGATAAAGTTACCATAGTTAGTGTTCTTCCAGCTATTGCCAATTTGGGTGCTTTGGAAGTGGGTAATTGGGTTCACCAGTTTGTCAGGAGGAAGAAGCTCGATAGAGCAACAAACGTTTGCACTGCACTAGTAGATATGTATGCCAAATGCGGTGAAATTACAAAAGCGAGAGAAGTTTTTGACGCGATGCGTGAAAAAGAAACGGCTACTTGGAATGCTTTGATAAATGGGTTGGCAATCAATGGGTGTGCCGGAGAAGCATTGGAGGTATTTTTGGATATGAAACACTTTGGATTTAAGCCAAATGAGATATCCATGCTTGGTGTTTTGTCTGCTTGTAACCATAGCGGTTTAGTTGAGGAAGGCAGGAGGTGGTTTAAAGCTATGAAAGAATTTGGGCTCGAGCCAAGAATTGAGCACTATGGTTGTATGGTAGATCTTTTGGGTCGAGCAGGGTGTTTAGAGGAAGCCGAGAAGTTGATTGAAAGTATGCCTTATGAAGCTAATGGGATTATACTTAGCTCTTTACTATTTGCTTGTGGGTATGCCAAGGATGTTACGAGGGCAGAGAGAATAAGACAGAAGGTTATTAAAATGGAGCCATGGAATGATGGGAACTATGTAATGTTGAGGAATTTGTATGCCGAGGAGAGAAGATGGAGAGATGTGGAGGAAATTAAAGGAGAGATGAGTAGAGGAGGTGCTAAGAAAGCAGCTGGTTGTAGCGTCATTGAGGTTGATAGTAGGGTGTGGGAGTTCATAGCTGGGGGTAAATTGCATCCGAAGTGGGGCGCAATAAATTCAGTCCTGGGGAATTTGTTGATGCATATGAAAGGAGAATGACTTACTGAAGAACTAAAGAGGGAAATTGTTGTTGAAGCTTGCGCAAAGCACAAGCTAAAATGAGTGCTGATTTGTGTTTCTGTATTGTATATACATTAACTTAAAAAGATGAAAGGAATTTGGTGGTGAATCAAATGATCAAATCAGGTAAATTGTTACAGAGATCAATCTAAGAATGGGACTTACGGCTAATTTAGAAGTTTTGGCTTGCTCAATGGAGTCCTTTTATTTCTATTATGACTCGTACTCACAATATGACAAATGACAATGATCTGGATCATCCATTCGATAGGGTTCAATTCAAACAGTCATTGCTTTTTGTGAAACTGCTCAAGGAGGTAGCTGGATCAATATGATTCATCAGGCAGATCTGAAGTTGTTTGTGATGAAAAAATGAATAATAGAGAAAACAGAGAAGAGATGATAAACATTTGAAGATTGTAAATTTGTCTAGTGTTGAGCCATTGGCAAGTTGGAGAGAACTATTAATTAACCCTTTTTTCAAAGGATAAGTTACACAAAAGGCCTCATCTCATACATAGTGAGAGTTACACAAGCAAAGCATCTCAGGTAGCCTGTGAAGTTTTATCTATTTGGATCAGCTGCTATTCACAGAATATTGTGATTTTGTGAAGGGTTTATATAGATGAAAGACTTTGAAAAAACAAAAGAAAAAAATATATATTTCAGATGCCAGGAATTTGCCAACACGCCTAAAACCTACTCTCCGTAAACTCACATCTTGGATTTGATTTTTGGTGGCGTCACCTGAACTCAACTGATACTTGTGGTTTGAAGTTGATGGCAGGTATACAGAATTTACTTTGCACTGTGGTTTGAGGTATCTCATCAAGAAAAAAATAATAAATAAATAGAAAGAAGAAAAACCTTCTCTGTCGAACACTGTTTGGGAACCTAGTGGAAAATATAAAATAAATGATTACAAAAATGTGTTTCGATTAAGGGAGTGTGGATATCTGATGAACATGATTTTTTGTAGGGATAAAGTACTCGACGAGTTCTACACATTGAACGGTTCGGATTATTGAAACGGGACCGGGGGTAAGCCCCATGGTCCAACAGTATTCCTTAAATAAATGAGTTTATTTCATTTTTCTTTATTCGTGTCTTCTTTATTTGTAGTCCAAACAACAGATTTGAAATAAGATATATATATATATTTTTTTTTTGTGGCTAATTCTCAAATCACTCAATCCAAACAGGTAAGGTACAACTCACACTAAAAGCAAGTTTCAAGCCAGGAATCAGAATTTTAAACATAGAAGTATTAATGGATTCCTTGCTTTCACAGGCCATTTGGACTATAAAGCCATTCCATTCTTTTTTCTTTTCTTTTCTTTTTTTTTAATCTTTGGCTTTCACTATATATGTTTTGTGGTTCAACTTACCAATTTCCATATTTGCAAAATGGGGATGGCCATGAGCTTCATGGGAGTAGGTTTGTGATCTCCTCTTTTATTTTAATTTTTTTTTCACCTTTGGTGCTCTGTTTTTACCTTTACTTTTCCTTCCCTTCTCTGGCCCTTCAATTTTCAATTTCCATCTTTTGTCTTGTCTCTACTCAATCATTCTATACGATTTTTATACCTAATGTGTTTTTGTTTCCAATTTTCAATTTCTTTCTTTAAAACAAAAACTAAAAATATGAAACAGAAATGTTTCCAATGAATGCCTTGTTTGGTAATGCTTTCATATCTTGCTGTCTATTTTCATTTTCATTTTTTTTTAAGAAATTGAAAATGAATCCTAATGTGTGAAACTAATTCCAAAGTTTTAAAAACTATTGGAACTATGTGTCACTTGTTTTCAAAATAAATTTTCATGCTCCTGCCCACGACCTCTGAGCACCATCCACTATTACTATCAACATTCGTCCGATTATCAACAAGTTTCAATTATCTTTTGTTACCCACCTAATTACCGTCTAACATCCCATGATTTTCAACAACACTCTAGCTACTAACTCCAACAACCACCACATTCGTCGACTTAGCGAACAAATTTTTTGTTTTAATTTTTGCAATAAAAAATAAAGAATTTCTTTTTCTTTTCCTTTTTTTTTTTTGTTGTCTTTTTTAAACAAAATCTAAGAAGTTCGCTTTTGACATTGATAGATATTGAATAAAAAAAAAAGATAGATACCATTGAATTGTTTGTTTGTTTTGTGTGTGTGTGTGTAGGGTTGCCATCAACACAGATGTTTAATTACGCAATGGGAACTGTTTACGATCAACTCATGGAGAAAGAAATCAACGACTTCGAGGACTTCCACAAGTCTCTTCTTGATCTTTTCTCGTAAGCCCCTTCTCCCAACAAAAATAAATAAATAAATAATTATCAGTACTTCATATTAATTATTATTATATTAGAACTAGATAGATAAGCAAAAAAAAAAATTAAAATTAAAATTAAAGTTAAAGTTAAAGTTAAGGCTTTTTGTTAATGGCATAGGTTAAAATAGCATTTAATGAGTACAATAATCTTGACTTGTGTAGGAAATTGTACAAATTTAAAAGCTGCCAAAATTAAAGAAAGTTTGTTTTACATAGAGACCAAAATATTCTTTTGTATTTTCTTTCTTTTTATTCTTTAATTTTTTATTTTTTTACCTTTTACCCTACTTTTGTTTTTTATTTTTATTTTTTTTTAGGTAATAAGAATATAATAAGTTTTTTTATTTTTGTGACAAGGAAAAATAGATTTTTATTTTTATTTTTTGATTGTAATATTATAGTATCAATGGATTATTCATCAATACATTTCAAGAAATTGTTTTGACTTGAATTTCCAAATGAAGAAAGTATTATACTATTATTTTATTTGATTTATAATTTAATTTTATTTATAATGAAATAATGATTTTTTTTTTTTATTTTTAATTTTTTAATTTTTTTAATTTTTAAATCAAACACAACGAATCAATAAAGTAAAAATTTTGATATAATTCTAAAAAAATGTCATTAAAGACAACAACAACAACAAAAAAAAAGGTGATTTATTTGAAGGTTTAACAATTTTTGTCACTTGTGACAATTTTTATTTTTGCTCTACAATTTTCCATATAAATAGAAAGGCCCAATTTGTCTCCAATTGAAGATTAATACTAGACCATTTAGCCGGCCCGTGGGTCCATTTTTTAGCCCCTTTTCGATAATCCAAATCGTTTAATGTGCAAAACTCGTCAAGTCCTATATTCTTATAAAAAATTTACGTTGATCGGATATCGATAACTATTTGATCAGATCAGATTTCTGTCAAGCGTTTATATTTTAACCTTTCATTTTTTTTATATAAAACTGATCTGATCAAATATCGATATCTAATCAACATAATTTTTTGAAGGGATATAGTACTTGACAAATTTTACACATTCAACGGTTCAAATTATCCAAATAGGACCCAAAAAATGAACCCCATGGCTGGATTGGATCGTAAATAGAAATAGTTAAAAACATTTAATGCGCCCATAAAATTAATATAGACACAAACATACTGATTCCTATATTATCCAGCTCCTTCAATGCATCATTGCCTGGTAAACGTTACGATGCTCCTTTGCGCAAGGAAATCGAGGTCATCTCTCTCTCTTATTCAGGATTTCTAAATATTGACCGTTTCTTAATGAAATTTTAGACTTCCAATCCCATATTGTTGATACTATATACTGATACGGTTTTTTAAAACCATGGTGTGATTACTAAGTACTAACCTATATATTAGCAAAAACAAACAGGCATGTTTTACAAAATGGAAAGGAGTAGCCGATGAGAAAGAAAGGAAGAAGGTTTTCATAGAATTCATGAGGAAGGAAGTGAAGATTTGCAAGTTAGATAACACTACCTTGATTGTCGGACTAGTAATGCCTCCGGCAGCCATGGGAGTGAAGAGGGCAGGCGAGAGTGTGCCGCAGCTGAGTTTGATAAAGACCATCCCCGACGTCGTGTTCGTGCCCTCTATCACTGTATTGGCCCTGGTCTCTGCTAAGCTCTCCAGAAGGATCTTCTCAGGGAATGCTGCTTCCTGAGTTTACCGAGTCCCTCTCAACCCATTCACACGATACAGAGTCCAGAAGTTTGATGAATGTTATGTAGTTATATGGATCAACGTGATTACATTGTAAAACAAATGTACTAACAGAGTTGTTTCTAGTGGAGCATCCATAACTCAAAAAGTCATACACAAATAAAAGAAGAATGCCATAATCATCCAATTTCCAATGCTGCTTAACAGGATAGGATTGGAAAACAAAATAAAATAAAATAAAAACTGTTTTCTTTTCCTGTATGTGTAACGTGTTCAATTGTTACAGGAAAATATACTAGTAAACTGTTTGCTCGAAGGAAACGCAAAGAAAGCTTAAAACGTTCTTGTACATAAACTTTCTTGTTAATTGATCAAGGCTCACATACTAGTGTACTTAAGTCAAAACATGAAACATGAAGAGCCCCCCAACAAGGAGATGGGGGCCTTGAATGATGAGGTTCATGAAACTGGTTCCACACCCGGCTCCTTCTCCCCTCTCTCACAATAACACAACTATATGATGATTTCTAAAAAAAAGAGTCAAAACATGTAAAACTAGTTCAGCCAACAAGGACAAAGACAAAACTACAGGCTATACAGTCATTGCAACTGAAAAGGTAGCAGCATGGTACTGCTTACAAGAAGCATTAAATAGATACCCGTGCAACCTGACCTCGCAATCTCCCATCACAGAATACGTATTACAAAAAAGAACCTCAAATGTCATTCGTAAGTAATAAGGGGGTTTTTTTTTATGTAGCATAAACATCAAATTATTCAGCAACGCAATTCAACATGGAGTAGATGACAACCTACTGTGAAATCAACGAAATTAACCAAAGCAAAATGTTGGATGGCAACGCCAATCATAAAGTAACAAAGGAGGTTTTCAGTAGCTTAGAAGTAAATCAGTACAAATTGGTTCAACACATAGCATCTTGCCACACATGAGTAGAAAGTTTCATGAGAGATCACCATAGTCAACCAAAGTGAGCCCATCACAAAACAAAAATCCAACCACCACCACCACCACCAAGAATCAAATTCATCTAACAATAATTCCAAGAAGCAAGAATGATAATTTCCTTGATATTGAAACAGTACTAATGTGATCAAAAACTCAAGATGTACATAAACTCCACGGGACATCCAGATCAAACACCAGTTTTGAGCTAGAGAGAAATTACAGCCAAACTAATGGTATGTACAAATGCAGTCAAACGAAAGGGCAATTTGTCTACATGAACAAACTGAGAAGAGAGAGAGAGAGAGAGAGAGAGAGATCTTAGCAGAATAAATAGCATGTACATACTTTTTTGCACCAAAATTACTGACATCATTTTTTCTGGGGAAAATCCATTCCTCCAGCAAAAGAAACTAATAACTTTTTAACATTTTAACCATAGGGGGGCTAACCTGAGGATCACCAGCTCCCCTACTAGACCCAGCCTTCCATCTACCTCACTTTCTCTTGTTCTTGGTTGCAGTAAGTTTCCTGCAAAAGAAACTATTAACTTTCAACATTTTTACCATAGGGGGCTAACCTGAGGATCGCCGGCTCCACCTACTTGTCCCGGCCTTCCGTCTACCTCGCTTTCTCTTGTTCTTGGTTGCAGTAAGTTTGGAAATTGAACGAATCTTTGGAGTTGGTTGATCATCATCAGGCAAGTCAGCTTCAAGATCATGAAATGGAGGAATGGAGCTATCTTGCTCTTCCTTTGGTACCTGGGGCTTCTCTATGGGCTGAATGTTAACTTCTTTGGTGTTATTTGTCTCTCTCTTGGCTCTGCGATTATATATCAAAATTCCATCCCCAGTCTGCACAGATGAATTACCTAAGATTAAAAAGAAAATTTAACATACATTGGCACATTTTAAAGCTTCACAGTACCACTGAATTTGCCAAAAATCTTGGGAAAGTTAACCAGGTACTGTCTTTTCTTTTCTTTTTTTCCTTTTTTTTTTTTTGGGTACATCGGAAATAAACCAGGTCCTATGTCTCTATTTCACCAAAAGTGCCAAACTTTTATTGTAATAATTACACCCAACTAAATCACTTCTACAAAAATACTTTCCATGGCACAGGATTCTTGTGAATCAGCTCAATTGATCAAAACTCTATCTCTCTCTCTCTCTCTCTCTCTCTCTCTCTCTCTCCCCCCCCCCCTTTCTCTCTCCCGAACATATGGAGATGCCTTAGTGTTATTTCACCAAAAACAAAGAAAGAAGAACATGATGATGATGATGACGACGACGACGAAGAAGAAGAAGAAGAAAAAGAAGACGAGGTGGAACAGCTGGAGTCTGCCACAGAGACAGAGAACCAAAGGGAACTGAAACTTGTGAACCCATGGGAAATGAACCCAGAAGAAAAGAAATGGTAAGAGGTCGCATGAAATTAGCAAACTATAGTGTACAAGAGTCAGGAGGATAATTCCATTTTCACACCACACTTGCACACTATTTGTGTTGTTCAGATGTCAACTTTTGAACAAAAACAAATGTTCGGATATCAACTTCCAAACAAAAATCAATTGTTCATTCAGATATCAACTATTGAATAAGATTTTTTTCGAACAATTGACTTTTGTTTTGGAAGTCACAAATGGTGTGTATTGAGATAAAAAGTGTGGTGTGCAAATAGAATTACCCGAATCAAAAGCTGCATTTATGTATAAAAACTGCTAAGAAGGCAGGAAAACACACTGAACTAAATCATTTTAATAGAACTGATGAAGAAGAGAAAATAACATGGTCAATCCACTATCCACTTATGCCAAGTCAACAGAACAGGTAAATATTTCAACTTACAAAAACTAGATGACGAGTGGGATTCCATCTTTAATTTGTATTGTGTCAATAAACTTATTGAAGGATGAAACGGGCTCACAGCTTCTTCAAGAACCAAACCAACCATATTAAAATTAAAACTAAAATGAAAATCAGGATTTAGTTAAAAGCATTACAACCCCTAGTATTCCTCATTCACTCTGATTACGGAAATTGGACGAGAGCCCCCAAAAAATAATAGATCAGAAAACATTTTTACATGATTCAACATATTCGAAATCCATACAGAAGGAGAGGTGGGTTTTAAAACAGTCTAGAAAGACTTACATTTTTTGATGAACCCCCAACTTCAGGCTGATCTGTGCTTTCAATTATATCAGGAACATGGTTCACTTCTCCATGACTCGAAGCTGCACTTTCACGCATAACCGGATCACCCATATCATACTCGGGTATAAGCTGAGTTGCAATATAAGAAGATCCTACTGGCATTATGTCCCCATTGTTGTGAGGAGAAGCAGGCTTTCGAGAAGAGCTGGTCAATGCATTACATGGTGCAAGCATGTTCAACTCATCGGTGGAAGAGAACTTTGTGGCATTTTCACTCATTATCTTGTGGAGCCGAGTCTTCATCTGGCTAACTTGTGACTCCACAATTCCAATCTTCCAAAGGACCTGTTCCAAGGAACTGTCACCATCTCTCTCGAGGGATGACAATTCATCATTGACCCCAATTTCATTATTGCCATTGATTTTCTCTTTGCAAATCACTGCAGGGAAAAAGGGTCAATTGAATTAGTAATGGAATTAGATTCTAAGAGCATATCTCACATCTAGCAGATAGCGCATAAATGTTCTTAAAACTACTCGGTGGTCTTTTGAATATCAACCAGCAAGAAAACATAACAGCTCATCCAGAAATAAATTTCAGTCATTATTCTTTAGCCTACATCTCAGAGTAAAGTTCAACTGTCAAACTATAAACTGGTTTGATTTGACTTATATTGAAAGCCATGGTTTCCAACTTCCAAGCATCCATAGATTTCACTCTGGCACTCACTCAACACCGCCTTTATTACAAAAACAAAACAAAACAAAAACCACAAAACCTTTCTTCTAAGGATACTCATGAAGGAAAGCATGCACCTATTATGAAGGAAAAACAATTTAAATTGTGAACAGACATTTTTGACAAATGAATTTGGAAGGCTTGTGTTCCTCTTAAGGTGAAGGTGTTCATGTGGTCCTTGGTTCAAGGAGGCATTTTGAAAAATGATACATCGCTAAAAAAGAGACCTAATCGTTATCTAAATCTTGAATGGTGTATTGTGTGTTGTAAGGATGGTGACTCCTTGGATCATTTAGTTTTTGCACTGTCCAATTGCTTTGAGTTTATGGCATAGATTGTTTCTTTTGATGAATGTTACGTGGGTGGCCCCAAAAGGTAGTACACATATACTTCTAATCAACTTTCATGTTTTGGGAGGATCGAAGAAAGCCAAAGTGCTTTGGTTTTGCGACATCTTTGCAACTTTTTGGGTTTTGTGGTTGGAAAGAAATGTGCAGATTTCGAAGATAAATCTTGGGATGTGGATTTTTAGTGGGATAAAGTTTGTCACTCAAACTTCTTTTTGGGCTTCGGTGAAATCTCTTTTTAGGAGAATTTCATTGTTTTTGTTAGCCAGAGATTGGTTGTCGGTGTGTGATTTGTAGATTTTGTTGATGTCTTCTTTGTTTGGGTTATGTATTTTCTTTCTTTGCTTCTTTTTTGTAGAGGATGCCTTATCCCCATTTCTTTTCTTTTTTTTTTATTAATCAATAAAATTTTGTTGTTGATAAAAAGAATAAAAAAATAAAAAAGCAGTAGTAACTTCCCTGCTCCCAGTTACTCGATCTAAGGCTTATATTATTATTATTGAAACAACTTCGGTCTATCAAATGCATAAGTATAACCTTTGAAACACTTTCATTGGAACTTCCTTTTGGTGGAAGTTCACTTCACAACCACCTTTGGTCAATCCTAGTCCTCCTAAATATATCGCTAGCATGGTTATAAGAAGAATAGAAATACTGAAAACTGCAATATATCTGACTATTTAAAGAGGGAATCACAAGAATTTTTTCTTTATCGGAGGTCATAGCTAGAGCTGCAAACGAACTGAACTGTTCATGAACAAGCTCGGCTCGTTAAGGGCTCGGCTCGGCTCGTTTAAACGAGCTGAGCTTGAGCTCGAGCTCGCATAAGCTCGCCTCGTTTATCTTTATTTAAATTATATACTCCCTCCGTCCCAAAATATTAGTCCCTTATTCCATTTTTCATTGTCCTAAAATATTAGTCCCTCTTCAAAAATCAAGTACAAAAATAATATAAATTTCCTATTTTGCCCTTCTTTTAAATTAATAAATAATATAAAAAGTACAATTATGACATTGATATTCCCAAAAAATGTACTATCAAAAGGATAATTAACGAGCCGAGCTCGAGCCCAGTTCCTTATCGAGCCGAGCTCGAGCTCAATAAACGAGCTCGATAAGTAAACGAGCCGAGCTCGAGCTCAGCAAAGCTCGGCTCGGCTCGGTTCGTTTGCAGCCCTAGTCATAGCCTGAGGGAAGGAGGAGTCTTGTATGTGGCAAAACTAGAACCCTTGATCTTCTAGTGAGATGCAAAAATTCTAGTTGGTTAATCACAAGTATTAAAAACAAGACATGCCTACTGCTCAAACCACACATGGATTTGGGAATCTTGAATTCCCACAAATTGAGAGAGAGAGACCATCAAACCTTTAAACTAACCAGCAATTGCTTTAAATTTTTAATTTTTAATAAAGTATCCACGAGACTGATAGCAGATGTCTTCTGCTATCATTTCTCATGTCTTTCCCTTATTCTTTAGCTATATGCCATTGAACTATAGAATCATAAGGAGAAACCTCACCTTGACTGCTCTTATCATCATCCAACAAAGCAGTATCAGCAGCAGACCTCTTACTCTCTGAAATATACCACTTAACCAATCATAATAGATTTTTTTATTTTTTTTAGAAAAAATGAAGAAATTATTGCATGAATCAGTATTTAAAAACAACAGTGAAAGTGTGTACCATAATAGGAGAACAGGTTATGGTGTGACATGTATGATGCTATGTCCACTGTGTCTTCAACTCTTTTTCTTCTCTTCCTCTTCATGACTTCTTTTCTTCTACTTGGACCAAAAAATGGCCGTGACTTTGCACAAAAACCTTCTAATACAGAGTTTTCAAACTCTGACTGCTTTCTTCGATTATGTTTTGCAAGCTCTCTGTCATACTTCATCGCTTGGGATTCAAATTTCTTAATTTGCAATTCTACCCATTTACAACGCCACATAAGAGGTTGTATGTGTGTTCTCCAATGAGGTGTCAACCTCTTCTTCCTTGTAAAATGCAAACATCATTAATGAATGCATGTCACATAATAATTAAGTTGAGCGTGAATATATCTATGCTGAAGAAGGTAAGACAAGTATAAACACTGTACACTGATAAGATAGGGAGAGCTACATTCATCTAATAAATTATATTGTTTACCACAAGCAAGAAATCACTAAAGACAAGAAGATGAAAATAAACAGAGACGTAACCAAATTTCATGAAAGAGACAAATAAAGCAAGTTCCTAGGATCCAGCAAACCAAATTTCCAACCAATTTCTTATAGCCTCAACCGTGTTGGTACATCAGGTCACTTGGGTCTGCATACAACAGGTGCCTCAAGTTTTGTGCACAGATGTCCTTTGACTTTGATCACCTACGAAGCACAGACACCTTGTCAGACACACTCCGGACATGTGTCAAACACTCTACCAAGCGTGTCCCCTGTTTTTTTTTTTTTTTTTTTTTTTTTTTTTTTTCAGTCGGACATGTTTCAGACACCACGGGGCACAAAATGTAATTTCCAAAAATTGTAAATGGGCCACAAAGTGTAAAAAACAAAAACAAAACATTTTGAAAGAAGAGAGAAAGGATCACTCATGTTCATCGAAGAGATCAACAATCGAAGCTTCATTTGAGAGATTTAGAGGTATTTCTTGTTCTTTTCTTTGTCGATCCTCTCGGTTCTCCTCTTTTCTTCTTCTTCTTCTCTCTCACTCTCTCTCTCCGTCATTTTTCTTCTTTCAGTTCTCTTCTTTTCTTCTCTATCTCTCTCACTGTCTCTATTTTTCTTCATCTCTCGCTTTGTTTTTCTTCTCTCTCTCACTCTCTCTCTCTCTCTCGTTTCGGTCACTCTTTTGTTTTGTTTTTTTGTTTTCTTTTTCTGATTCCGAATGTGATTTCTCTTTTCTTTTCTTTTTTGTCTTTATTCTATGGTACTCTATTTTTCTTTTTCTTTTTTGGTATCAATGAAATGTATTTTTTTAATTTTAGTTAGTATTATTTTGTCTTTTTTTATTATTTTCAGTATTTTTTATTTTATTTTATGACACATAATAAATAAATTTAATTATATATATATTGAGCGTGTTCCCAACGTGTCGTGTCCCCCAATTTTTTAAAATTTGCGTGTTTGCATGTTCGTATCCTTGCTTCATAGTTGATCACAAAAGACAGAATTTAAATCTACAGAATCAGTTTAAATCTCTTGCATGTGCAACAAAATCAATTGTACTAGCACATGAGCATCACATCACCATCCCTAAGCAAAATCTCCTTCTTCATCTTTTATAGCCCAAAATTCAAAGAACATGCCACATGGGGCAGGCCTCCATTTTGTACTACTAAAGAGATGAAATGATGGGAGAAATTGAATGTCAATTCATTCGTGGAATCCAGGCAGTCCATGTGGGACCACCACAACTCCTCCCTTCTTGATAATCCATACAATAGAATTCATCAGGTATTAATTTCAGTTTCAATTGGACCCACACACAAACACACACACACACACACACACACACACAAAAAAAATAATTTTTCCTTATTTTTTTTTAAATTCGAGTTTTTCTTTCTTGGGATCTCATTGGCAAGGTTGAGTTGCAGGACTAGTCCTGCAGGTACATTTGACAAATTTCTGTTGCATCTAAATATTGGGTTACATAAGTGACTTCATAGGCTCTTCTAGCACCAACATCAAAACCCATTCTATCAAAATTTCAATTTCAAATATAACACCACCCCCACCCCCCTTCACATCAACCCAAGCTTATGAAGATAGAAGTAGTCATTTCAAGGAATTGAAAGATCCCAGAATGGTTCTCTTGAAAGGAGGATAATGCCAATTGGAGCACGTAACAGGGAGGGTGTGATGCCATTCTATTGGTCAATTTAAACCCATTAAGAATTAAACTGTTGAATTAAATAAGAAAGTTATGATAGAACGTGGTAAGAAAAATTTTGCTCATAAAAATCTGAGTTATTTAAATATATATATATATATATATTAATGCTGACCTATATTAAATACACTATTCTAATTAATTTGTGAAGTACCCGTGTCGGACACTTGACACTTGGGTTAAGGTATGAAATATGAGTCTGACAAGACAAGTTAGACTCACACCCAACAAATATGTTTAAGTAGCAGTGTTTACTATAAACTATGCATAAGACTCTTTTTCTTTGTAAAAACATCTATGTTATTTTGCAAACATCATTTTACCCTTAATAAATTAAATAAGTATTTATGATAGACAAAATTTAGTCCATTTTAGTATTTTAACGACAATAAATGAAAGAAGTTTTTAAGAGATAGACATGAGAATTAAATGAATCCGACAATAAGACACATACCCACACTACTGCACACAACACCTGTACCCTAGTTGATGTAAAATAGATGCCAACGATAACCTGATCAAATGCTTAATAATCAAGTATTATTAATCATAAATAAAATGAAAAATAGTATATTGAATAAAATTTGTGGAATTTGGAGTTTCAAAAGGTGGGCTAGGTTTTTTTGTTTCTAAAATTGTCATTGCTACCCTTTTATATAAGCAAAGAGATTTAAACAACTTAAAAGCTGAAAGAGCTGTAAGCAAAATGGTAATATATGTATATATATATATACCTCATTCGAAAAGGTTCACTATATCCATTAAATCGCATTGCTGGTGACGAAGGATCACCATGCAATTCTGATTCAACTTCAGCATCACTCAGCATTGTATCATCAAAAGAACTCGAATTCTCAGTTGCATCCTGGAATTCAGCTTTAACCAACCCAATGTCACCAGAAGCTGTACAGTCAACTATATTAACCTCCACATCCTGACTTCTGTCTGCTCTGCCAGTTTGTTCATCCATTAAAACTTCCATCTCAAAGGTGTTGTCCTCATAATTACTTGCACATCTCACATACTTATCTTCTGGTTCTTTCATAACACCTGCAGTCTCCTTATTACCTGAGGCTGAAGCTTCCATAACAATATCTGATCTTCCTTTAAGCTCTAGATCAGGACCCATACTACAATATAAGGCAAGCAGAATCTTTCTGAAGATCAACGAGTCATGTTCACCGGTACCAAAGTTCCAAAATTGACAGATGAGCAAACAAAAAAGCTGAAAGCAGAAATGGCCATACTATATTAAAACAATGTAATATTTATATTGGTAAAACTGGATAAACATAAAACATTATAATCTAAACTATAAGAGTACCAAAACACTGTTAGTATTTAGTCTGTTAGCCTGTTTCTTTGAAAAAAAAGGTTTTCATTAGTATATTTTCAATATTCCTTCTAACATGGAAATTGCACAACTATATATAGAAATGTGCCAAGATTTGTAGCTAGATTTTCAAGTATCATCTATTCAAACAGATTAAAATATTTGATTAAAAAAAGATACCCATCAGCATGGCCAAATTGTGGTTTTATTCTTTACGAACTCCAGGAAACGGAATTCAAACAATATATGGCCAGTATCAACATGTTCATTCACTAAATTCTCTTTAAAGCACAAAAAGAATATTTACAATTAGAAAAGTAATAAAATGAAAACAATTAACAAACATAATTTAATTTTCAAGCTAGATGCTCTCATCATCTCAACATGAAAATTCCCTACTTTGTTTTCAAAATTCCAAAGATTGATAATTAAAATAAGTCAACAACCAAAACTCACACAAAATAATTATCTCAATATTTAATCAGGAACATTTTTCACCACCTAAAAATGATATTTCACTTCTTCCACATCCAAAAAATATAAGGCCGAACTCATGCATGGAAGCCAACAAAAGATCCTTTAGTATGAAACAAAAGCAAATTCTTAACATGGGTTTGCAATTCACCTCAACTTAATAGCACAGCAATTATTGCTCGTGCAGGGAAGCCAGCTTAAAGTTTAATAATCCTTATCTTATTTTATCAACTAAAACCATATCACCTGCAAATAACATACACCACCAAATATCCTCTTGAACTAACAACTATAATTGTTGGTTTATTTCTCTTACATCAACAACTATGGTGCACACATGGGTTTCTCTCCCTCGGTAAATTGATATGCTCAGAAACCTAAGGCAGGAATGGATCACACTAATTCAATGAAAAATTATATTGAGTGGCTGAAGCGTCAAGTCTTACATTAACGCAACAATTTTCTATAGAGGCAGATCAAATGGAGTTACAAGCAATTATAACATCAACAATGCTATTGTTTATAAAAGAGGTAGTTCAAATGGGCATATTTGATTCATGGGTTTCGTGTGGGTAAAAATGTTGCTAGTCTCATCAAAGAAACTACAGATTGAAGAGAGGTTTCTTCTTTGGAGGGAATAGTTATTGGACTTGTAGAGGATGATTGGACTTTCCATTCTATATATATATGTATATTTTTTCCCATTTAGCTCCCATTGGAAGTTGGCACTTGGTTTCTCTTCTACACTGTTGAACGCCCAAGACAATTTGGGTTTGTTTCTTGGGGTGCCTTTTCTTTTCTTTTTTCCTAGGGCTTGATTGGGGTTTTCTCTTAAAAACAGACTAAAAAAGAATACAAATGTTCTTTTAAAAAAAATAAAACAAAACAAAACAAAATAAAAATATTAAGCATCAACCTATCATGCAACCAGGTATACTTCTTCCAAGCTGAAACAAACAGCTTTTAATAATGGATTTTAATATCTCTCACAAGGTTGTTCCTTCAAAATATATTCAATCCCAATGAAGAACATAATACAATATATTGCAATAAAGAACAAATAAAAATTAATCACCACTGTAGTTAACTCTTGGAGATATATGCATCTGGAACTCGTATAAATATCACATGTAAGTTTTCACTTGGAATTTCCACAAACCATTAAGGAATAAGAAAACTAGGCAAATATACAGTGGGCCCATTAGAATGAACCACCTCACAAACTGATCAATCAAGGCCCTAAGACCCTTTAATCAGAAGAAGAATCACAAACCCTAAACCTAGGAACAAAGGGGAATGAGACAAAGGAGAACAAGAATGGGGACTTGGGTTTCTTTAGAGTGAGAGACACTGAAGTGGATAGCGAAAGGTCATGCCACCTCCGGCATAGGTTTAGCCCGACTGACAACTATATCTATATAAGCATATATGAATTAATTACACCATGCCTCCCTAAGTTATGAGTCTATGAGACAATATCATTTTACCCCTGAAGTAAAAAAACGTTACATTTTGACCCTTTCTAGTATCAAAATTCAAATGTATGATAACAATGTTAATGAAGAAGGATGATTTACACATCCCTATAACTACTTGGCTTTATACAGCTACAAGTATTTAACACACTAGATATCATTTATCATTTACAAATTGGAATACCTCACGTGTAACATTGTCTTTTCCGAATTTATCACAACCAAACACTAGATATCATTTATCATTTACAAATTGGAATAACGTCACATGTTAAAAACATTCTTTTTCGTCTTTTCCGAATTTATAGCAGCCAGACGCACAAACGGGTGACAATAAACCGCAGGCCAACAGCCAAATGAAGAAACCTTAAATTGCCTAATTTAGGCTATAAAAGTTTACAGACTTCTCAATACCATAATTCATTGCCGGGATCCAAATAATCAATTTTCTTTTCCCTAGAATTTTCAGCAAGATAAAAAACAAAACACATAACCTGGAACAAAACCTTAAAAAGTTCAACCCTTTGGTTGCTGAGATGTATAATAGAAGTAGACCAAAAAATAAAATAAATTAAAAAAATAAAAAAGGAAAATCAGATTTCTTGTGGTTCAAGTCCCTTTCAATACAGCCAATTTGGTTAAGAACATCTCCAATCCTTCATCTTTTCTTTCATCAAATTTAAATTTGATGAAAAAGTACTCAAAAATCATCTCCAATCCTCTCATCAGATGTTCATCAAATCAAGGGAGTCATTTTTTTTTTCATCAAACTGAGAACTCATCTGACCCGTCATCATGATTTTTTTCATCAAATTTGATGAAAAGGGAAATTTGGGATAAGTGTGGAATTTTTAAAAAGATTTTGATGAAAATTTGATGAAAAAATTAAACTTTTTACTGAAATTTAGAATCAAATTAGATGAAAAATTGGGTGAAGGATTGGAGATAGTCTAACCTGGTGGCGACCACTGACCTGTATTCAGCCAAGTTGGCTTCTTGCCATTGAGAAGTCGGAGAAGAAACAGTGTCCAGCAGACACTGTCAAAATCAGATTCACTCCAAAATTGTTAGTCTAGATTTAAAAATTTTTAAAAAAAATACACACACACAAAACATACCAAATCCATATTCAATTTCTCTTCAACCAAACAACACATCAATCCGTACAGTAAAAAACCCTAATTTTCAATTGGAGTACCTTAGAAACACTCAACTGTAAACAATTTGAATAGTGGATTCAAGAAACCTATCCAAATTAGCGCAATGTTCTCGGCGGCGAAAGCGACGAAGACACCGTCTCTGAACAACTGCGATTGCTACGAAATCAAGAGAGAGATTCTTCTGAGATTACGCACTCATCTGTAAACTGACATGTATGTGTCTACAGATATTTATACACTTTGCCTCTATAATTTTGTTAAATTTGTCACATGGTATCTATAATTTTGTCAAGATTACAATTTGTCACAAGTAAAAAAAAATATTACATCTCGGACCCTAGTATTTTGTAAATCTTGCAATTTATAGTTTATTCTTTCGTTGTACAAACTAACTTTGATTGGGCAATTTTCCGAGAACAAAGTGGGGTGGCATTGGCGGTGATCGTGCAAAACTCAGTATTTTGTAAATCTTGCAATTTATAGTCTATTCTTTCGTTGTACAAACTAACTTTGATTGGGCAATTTTTCAAGAACAAAGTGGAGTGGGATTGGTGGTAATCATGCAAAACTCCAAGGCTGAGGGCATTGGTGCCTTATTGGAATTGTCGATAAGTCATTTAAGGTAGACTGTATAGAGGCATTGATCGTTTTTTATTTGTTGTGAAATATGGATTACATGAGATTTTGTTAGAATGGGATTCATTAGGGATTGTTCATGAGATACAGATAGATAAAATGTCTCTTTCAATTGTTGGATACATTACGAAGGGTGTTGCGAAACAAGGGAATAAAGTTGCGCACTAATTAGCTAAAATGGCTCAGATAGATATGTCATTGATTGTTTGAATGGAAGAAATATGTGATAACCCCGGTCTGTATTATACTAATTAATCTTAATTATGATTGTGATTATGTGTTTGATATGATTTTGAGTGCCATTTATATGGATATATGTGGTTTTGAATTTCTATCTGTTCACCGTAGGAAAATCTGTTTGATTATCTGCTTTAGAATTTAAACTGAAGACCTTATCGGCCATAGAAACTGAAATTGACTACGCCATTGTGATTAGCGAAATTTTTAAAGCCTATGGTGAAATTTAATTGAAAATTTATTCGGATCAAAATAATTAGATTCAGAACGATTAATTAAGCCCCATTACTTAATCCTAATCAAATATGATTAAGGAAGCTTATATAAGGGGCTCTATTACACTTAACCCCATTCTTATGAGCTCAAAATCTGAATTAGCTCTCTTGAGAGAGAGAGAACCAACTTTGAAAGAGAGAGAAGTCATCTTTGTGCATTTTGGCTCAAGAGTTGTGAATTTGGAAGCTACACTCAAGAATTAACTATAATTTGTGAAGATTGGAGCTCCTAGGTAAATAAATTCATAAGTTTGAGTTTGTAATTTTGTGGATTCAAAGTTAGATGGAAATTGAGAATATAATTTGAGATGTAATTGATGAATATGGAGCTTGTATGTACAAGCATGTGCATAATTGCCATGAATTTGTATAATTGAGCATGATATATATGATCCATAAAGAATTTGATGTCAATTCATGCCTTTGATCATCATCTACATCATTTAAGTTGGAAATAGGAGTTATATCCCACATGCAAATACAATTCATAGAGGTATGAGTTTTGAATACATGAATTTGTTATGTTTGAAATAAGTTTGGTGTAATTTGGGGCATGTATGTAATTAATTCGTGAGATTTGAGCTTCATAATGTGATAAATTAGTGTTTGTATCATGTTAGTAGATGTATATGAGGACTATGGGTCATAAAATGCATGATATATTAGTTTGAATGTGAGTTTGAGCCTCAAATGGAATTCTGGAAAACCCAGAATTCGGCATGTCCGCTCGAGCGGAGCAATGGCCGCTCGAGCGTGAAATGCTAGCTCCCAGCAGTTTTGTAGACATTGTCATCCGCTCGAGCGGGGAGAATCACACTCAAGCGTCCAAGGCATATGTTTGACCTTCAGCTCGAGTGTCCGAAGTGGCGCTCGAGCGTGAATGTAAGGCAACCAGTACTTTTGCAGACCATGGGGGTCCCCTTGAGCGGCGAAATCTACGCTCGAGAGGGGAGCCCTGTTTCAGAAACTTTGTAAAGATGTTTTGTGTGTCATTTTCCGTTCTCTTTCATTTCTAAGTGCTCTTAGGCATATATGAAGCATTGTAAATGAGTTAAAAGAATAAAAAAGAAGCCTAAGAGGGATGCATGAATTAAGAACGGATTGAATCGTTTGTGACCCATTATGTTCATGAAATATGTAGGGTCAAGCACAAGGGCAAACCATCCGGCAGATCACTGTGAGTAATATCTTAGTAAATATATTTTGAAGTATGTCATTTGTTCTATTGCTTACTCCTATTTGAGTTTCATAAGTCTGCTAAACTGAATGAATGATTGGGCCAAATACCGTTTGACATGAATGATTGGGCCAAAGGCCGTTTGACATGAATAACTGGGCCAAAGGCCGTCGGATATGAACGATTGGGCCAAAAGCCGTTGGATATGAATGGATAGGCCCAAGGCCGTCAGGTATGAGTGAATTGGGCCCGAAGCCGTTTGATACGTCTAGAACTTTAGTTGTTTGATACATTAGATAGAAAATTGAATTGGGCCCAAGGCCATCTGATGTGACTATTTCAAAGTTGTTCATGTATCTTCTTTACTTGATATTATTCACTGGGTTTTCACTCACTCTCATTCATATATATGTAGGTAAGATTGGGCAATTTTTCAAGAACAAAGTGGAGTGGGATTGGTGGTAATCATGCAAAACTCCAAGGCTGAGGGCATTGGTGCCTTATTGGAATTGTCGATAAGTCATTTAAGGTAGACTGTATAGAGGCATTGATCGTTTTTTATTTGTTGTGAAATATGGATTACATGAGATTTTGTTAGAATGGGATTCATTAGGGATTGTTCATGAGATACAGATAGATAAAATGTCTCTTTCAATTGTTGGATACATTACGAAGGGTGTTGCGAAACAAGGGAATAAAGTTGCGCACTAAGTAGCTAAAATGGCTCAGATAAATATGTCATTGATGGTTTGAATGGAAGAAATATGTGATAACCCCGGTCTGTATTGTATTAATTAATCTTAATTATGATTGTGATTATGTGTTTGATATGATTTTGAGTGCCATTTATATGGAGGTTAAGGCCTTTAGTAAAAGTTACCGGAACGGAAAACCCAACCTAGTTGACTGGAGATCCCAAGATCTAGGTTCAAAGGGACAACTTAACTTCGTGTAACGAGTGAGTAACTGAAGAGGTAAATCCTCTTGCCCATTCCTTTATACAGTGATGTCCTGTGGGGGTGGAAGGTTAAGCTAATGCTTTTAATGACCTTAGTGATGTGGTATAATGAAATACCGTATCTAGGTCACCTATGTGAGTGCGAAGTGGGGCCACT